GGTACATAGACCAATGCCGACTTTTAGATGGATGGGTTTTCATCCATCTAGAAGTCCATCCATTAGATATCTACCCATTCATCCATCTCTAAGTCTATTCACTAGCTGTCCATCCATCAATCTATTCATCCATCAACCTATCCATCCATCCATCCATCCATCCATCCATCCATCCATCCATCCATCTTATAGTCTATCCAATAGTCATCCATCCATCTAGAAGACCAGCCATAATCCATCCATCTAGAAGTCTGTCCTCCATCCATTCATCCATTAGTTATATTTATATCCATCCCTCCATCTGGTTTTGAATACAGCTCAGAGGTAAATTCATAAATTCTTAGTGAGTTTTTGTATTTCTCTCAGATTTAGAGGCACAGAGGACTCTGGATCTGTGTGTCTGGAACAGCGCGGGGTTTCTCTGCATATTGAAGCGAAACAGTCCTCGGGTTGGTTCGCCGTCGCTGTGTCAAACACAGCCTGGTATTTCCTCTCGCCCCCCTGCTTCTTTCTATCACTTTCCCTTCTGATGCCTGATCCTCCACTCTGTGGCATGTTGCTATGGTAACGCAAAGCCCGATTGGAGCGAACGGGTGGGGAAGGAGGGGACGTTTGCACGTCAACCCGGGAAGACCTAATGCGCTGCCCACACACTAACACACACACACACACACTCATATTACATCTTTCTATTTTCACAAGGACTTTGCATTGACTTCCATTAATTTTTTATTCATTTCTACAGCCTAACCCTTAACCTAACAATTACCAGTACATGCTTAACCCTAAACCTTACCTAAACTCAACTCACACTTTAGTCCTAAACCTAATTAAAAAAGCACATCTTCTTATGTGATCTGATTTTTGGGCTCTATAAGGAGTATTTAGTCCTCACAATGCAGTATTGGTTAGAAAAATGGACCTTACAAGGTGAGAAAAACTAAAACACACACACACACACACACACACACACACACACAGAAAACCATGCAGCAAGTGATCAAGATTACAAAAGAGACTCTGTGCAGGGACTTACTTATAAGGTTATGGAGAGCAGCGCTGGCGATATCAGGGGCACGGCCATGCTAACAGCAGTCAATGAGATTACTGTGGACACAGCGGGCCGGGGGAGAGGCTGAAAAACACACTTCCAACGACAAAAGCACCAGCAACTCCCATCATATTTCATCTGGTTGTGCGACTCGCGTGAGCTACAACACGAGCCAAATACACCAAGCTGTTTTCTGGGGGGGCCTCGCCGTGACAACTTGTATGTTTTAATGAGCTTGCGGCTCCTGAGGCGAATTAAATTTCTCCTCATGACATCAATCATAAATTTAGCATTTGGGCTCAGATTTAACATTGGGGTGGTGGCGGTGGTGGTGGGGGGATACAGGCTTCAGCTGCAGCGTGTTTGTGCTGCAGTACATGTTCGCTGGCATTTGCACCTCAACAAATGCGTCTGTGGCAGACAAAAGGCAAACAGCGGGTCATCATTTGCAAAACACGAGCTGACCCCAGAGATGACAGCTGTTTTAGTGAACTGGGACGGCTTGTGGTGAGCAGTCTGCGTTGAATAATAAGAGCTTTGGGCTCAGATCTTTTCTTCTTCTTCTGACCTTCGGGAAGCTTCTCGGTTCGGTCCTTTCGCAGAAGTGGGACGGCGGCCTTTAGACGGCATGGCCTTGGTGGAGAATCCAGAAATTGCTCAGTTTTATGTGCAGCTTGTTAATGTTTCTCTCAGTTCTGACTTTAGTTTTATATTTAGACACATTTAGCATACAGGCATTGAGTATTCAAGCTTTAAATATGGTCTTTTTTTTTCTTGTCAGTCTCACAACACACAATAGGGTTACAGTAAAGCCTGGCTTTAGAGTTGTAAAATAAATGCTTGGATTATTTTACTTTTATGTGAATGTGCAGGTCTTAAACTCCATGTTTCTAGAGCACAATTTGAAAATAATCTGGTGTTTGTTCTAAAGCACTTACTTTGAGAACTATTCACAAAATGCCTCAGTATGGGGAGCATATAAACCAGGAAGAGTTGGGCAGTATCTATTAAGCTTTCTTCAAATAAAGCAGTGTGTGGCATGAGAGTTGTTAAAAGTTATATTCTTATGGAAACCTTGAGTAAAATACCAAACTTTTTACAGTTTATATGGTATCTAAACTTTTTTTCTAAAAGTTTAAATACTTTTAGAAAGTTCTCTTTCTGACATCAGTCATAAATTTAGCATTTGGGATTTCTAAACTTTTTCTAAAGTGTAAATACTTTTGCCTGTTATTTAACCTGTCTGTCACTAGAGGACCCAAATTTGGGTCCTCGTGAATGACAACCTGAGACCAACAGGTTAAGGCAAAAGCAACAATATTCCTTTGCAATATTTTTATTAAAATGACACTATTTTGTCTTCCTTTAAAAAACAAAGGAGGAAAAAATTGTTGGTTTTTTTAGCCAGCTGGGTTGCAGTGCACAATTGGGAGAGAGGTGAGTGTTGTACTAAGAATTATATGCCCATTTTTTCATTTCCAACAATCTGTCAAGCACAGCAACCCAGAAGCTCCAGGGAAACGGTGCAGAAATCCGCAGCATAGTAGTCCTCAGATCTTGCCTGTATGAAAAGTGGATATTATAGTCAAAAGAAGTCCAAGTTGACTTCTTCTGCACATCGTGGTAGGGGTTGTATTTCTTCACCAAGAACATGGAATCTCATCAAAGTTGACCTGTTGCCAAGGCAATTGACTTTCAATCAATCTTTGTAATGTTCTTGTCGCATGGCATGAATTATTTCAACTATTCAATGTCCTTTGGGCGGACTTCTCATTGAGATACAATTTTCTTTGAAAATGTCTGAGTCCACATCCTCACACCTGAAACAAGTTGCACTTATTCAGTCAGCTTAGACGAGTCAGAATCTTGTTCCAAGAGTCTTAATGGATGAAACTGGTGTAGTAATTTAAGCCTAGTTCCACTGGGAGCCATCTACAATCCTTCTAACTCTTGCTGCTCCTTACTTTGACATTTACCATAATCTAAGGACATAATTAGCGCAAACGCCTGCATCTCCAAATTGTTGCCAGTAGATCACCTTTGAGTTAAGTACCGCCGATGGAGGGAAAAGGAAATGATGTCGTTTAGCCCGGCTTAAGCAGGTCATTAATAGGCAGGTTGTTCGGTGCACTGCAAAAATTAACAAATACAAATTGGACTGACCACGTGTTAAAAATTAATTAAACATCTTGTACATGTTTCTGTCTTTAAATTACCCTTTTACTGTTTTAAATTTGCACATTCTTTTACTTGAGCATGTTGCCTTTAATGTCTATATAGCGTTATTTTTCTTATTATAAAATTTGTCCTTGCTATACAGTCTCTTACGCTTCTTATTTTTGTATTTTTTTGTTTGGGTGAATAATTATTTTTGAACTTATAGCACCAATATTCAAATGCCCACGTCTTCTTGATTTTTTTTTTTGTTTTACTTTATTTTTCATTTTTGTGTCTCTGACATCATTGGAAAGCTTAGAACTCACATTTTTATCATCTGCAAATAACTCAAAGCCAGTAACCAGTGCATGCTTATACCTGCTTCAACTTGCTTCCATGACACCTGAATTTTTCCACCTTTACACAATAACTTTCATACAGTGTGTCCACATATCTTTAAAAATTCTTAAATTAATTTTTTAAAAAGGTAATTTGGGCTTAGATGTGCTAATCAAAGGTCTTAAATTTTGTAATTGTAGGACTATTGAATCTTGTAAGTAGCTTTTTTTGGCGGGACTTTATACCTTTTTACAGGACTAATATAACTTTGCTAACCAGCAAACTAGCTAGCTAGCAAAGGTGTATTAGAGGTAAAAGGCAAGCAAAGGTTACCAATTGGTAACCAGGCTGTCGCTAACTTTCTTTTAATATACCTTTGCTATCAATCAATCAATCAATCAAATTTTATTTGTATAGCACATTTCAGCAGCAGGGAATTTCAAGGTGCTTTACATAATTACAGAAAAAATAAAATAAAATAAAAAGTATACCTTTTCTAGCTAGCTAACTAGAAAAGGTATACTACCTTTACTAACTATATGCTATCTATATACCTAGTTGGCAAAGGTATATTAGAGGTATAAGACTAACTAAGGTATAAAAGCTAGCTAGCTGTCACTGGTGAGTGAAAATGTATCACTAATTGGCTGGAAGACATTTGTTTTTACCACTGGCTCACTTCTGTCACCTGCCCATATGAAGATTCTCTAATCATCCTGCATATTTAGAGTTCTTTTGGTCGCATATTTCATTCAGTCTGTCTTAAAATTTCTTAAAAATTGAATTTTTAACAACTATCCTGTTATAAACTGTCATTGAATAAGCTTTCAGCAAAAATGCTGGGACCACATTTATTTACTGAGCATCAGCTGCTTTTTATAGTTTATTTTTGGACAGCGGGTAACTCTAAGGAGGTTTTGCAATGGGTCTAGCTACTTGAAAAATCAGCTTACGGTGTGGGTTATCGTGGACATTGTCTTTTTTTATGCTGGTTTCTGACTCATGACATTTATTGAGTGGAGATGTCGACCTGCAGGTTCGTTTGTAGGGTAAATACTGCCCAAATTCTCATCTCATGAGCAAAACAGGAGTACTTCAGGTCCAGTTTGAAGTGCCGCCACCGCCGATTTCCCCCACACGGCGTCAGACGGGCTGCATTTAGCCGAGCCCGGCGGTCGTTGCTAATCGAATGAATCAAAGCGGCCCTAACTCATTTATGACGCTTTCCCGCTCAATTTAAGCTCGCCTTGCTCATCAATATCGCCCCATCAGCCTCCTCGGACGGCCGCTGAATTCTCATCGAAGCCCGATCAAATATTTTCGAGACGGTTCCTCTATTTTTATCCCTCCCTCTTTCATAAACTGATTTAAGGGCTACAGGTTGCAGGAAGGATCTGTATCGATGTCCTTTTCTTTTTTATCTTAAGTGTTTATAAATGCTTCTCTCTTCCAGTTCCCCGTGGCGTGATCCAGAACGGCGCTCGCGTCAGGAGCCAGGCCCTCTTCCCCGTCATCAGACCCCTGCCAGTAAGCCCCGTGGGGAGCAGAACCTCGGCTATAAGGTGGGTAAACTTTGCCCTCAGACATATAATTAATGGGATTCCCCTGCGCAAACGGATCCACCTACACCCGCAAAAGAAGAAAAAAAAAAGAAAAATTTCCACTCATAGTTTACATAATTACATCTTTATTGTCTCCAAAAGTCAGGCTTTCACACGCTCCCCCTGTTGCTCTGAACATTTGATCCAGGTGTGTTTATGTAATGCGCTCCTTTCCTCAAAAACACACACAAACAGGTTTATTAGAGGGAAAGGCTTTTTGATCCGGAGAACATATGCGGCATGCACGGACACGCACATCCATCACCAGAGCATAAGAGTATAATGGTCGGCGCGGCGTAATGAATTAAACATAGCCAAGGGCTCACTGGAGGTATGCAGTGAATATTTGATCACTGCGAGGGGCGCGTGTTTTGCTTATAAGATATTAATATGCTAACTCTCTCATTCTGAAGGAGAGGATGTCTGCGGGACGAGGCACTCTCCTGAAGCTGCTACTGATTTATGGCTTTGCAGGATACCCCCACCTCACCTCCCTCCACCTCCTTTAGTGCTGTACACAACACAATTCTCTCACTATTACAGCAAAATATGTTCAATAGTATGACGCTCAGGGCCTGAAAATTATGAGCATCCTTTGAACTTTTCATATATTGATAAGTTTGTGATAGATCAATACAAATCAATTCTTAATTGTGACATGTTTAAAGGTGCAGTATAATGTAAAATTGACTCTTTATTTTAGCTTTTCATCATGTTATCATGTTATTCCCTCATTAAAAACACACCTGGAGTGCTGCTTTGATTCTTTCATGCATGCTTGAGATACCCTTGAATCTCCCGTGGCAACCATTCAGTTGTGTAAAACACACTCAGCTCCTTCAGACTAGCCAGCAGCAATTAGCAAACACCTGGTAGAACCACACATCTGCTGAGCTCATTATTGGAGCTCATCTCAGAGAAATTCTGGTAGAAATGTTAAAGGGTTATTAGAGGAGCCATGTTGTGATGACTTCCAGAAAGCAGCGTTCCAAAAAGAGCAGAAGTTTCTTAATGAGACAAAGGCCCAATTTTCCAGTTGTTAAATCATGTAATCAAATTTCTTTTAAGTCATGCGTCAGCATTTTTTTAACAACTGGAGGTAACATTTACTTGCTTGTGCTACAAAATGACATCAGGAAAACGCATCATACTGTCCCTTTAAATAACTAAAATCAGGTCTCCATTTCCATTCAGCCTCCTTTGATAACTCTAAGGCGGTTTTCACACTTGATAGTTTGGTAGACTCGGCTCAACTACAGACCAATATTGCAGCATTCAGCTGTTATGGTTCTCTTTCACACTGCCCCGTGTCAAACAATCCAAACCCTTTGAAAAAACCTGTGGTGGCGCTGCACCAAGAACCACTGAGGGAAACTATATGAGAACCTCAGAAGAAGACATGAGTGCAACTTCCTTCTTTGCGAAGATTTAGCGGTTGTTGGGTTTCTCTTTTGTCATTGGTTAACAAACCATGAGCCATTTCTCTCACTAGTGCAAGACTAGACATTTGTTTTGGTTGTATTTACCCAGAATGCTTTGCGCTCCTCCCAAGTTACCATTGATATATTGACTGGTTCTTTGATTGAAGCTTCTTGGTTTGCAGTCGTGTCATTGATTAAAGGTCTGCTTCTCTCCTCCTGAAGGCATTGGGTTTTATTTGTCAAAGTAAAGGGCAGTTTGCTACAAATGTATTGTCCAAATTGCTGTGTCCTTCTTCTTACACTTCACACAAAAAATACTTTGTGATCTATCAAAAACTAAAAATTCCCCTGAAATGCATAAAGGTTTATAGTTGTATCATGAGAAAATGGGAAAGTGTTGAACAGGGTTTGAATGCTATTACCTTCAGTGTTAAATTGACGTGTTCTGATGCTGTACCTTTGTGCTGAGCAGGTTCCCCAGGTTTAAAGCCGCTCAGAAGGCTCAGTGTCATCTGAAATATGCATGGGTGACAGTCTGATGACTGCCGACCTTAAAAGGGAAAGGCTGACTTTGTATTTTATTTTCAGGGATACAAGGTTTTTATCGGACTTGAGAGATGTTCACCTCAGGCCTAGAGGAGTGAAAGATTACCTCCTACCTTTCTTCTACTTCCCAGCAGTTTCAGTAGAACATGGCTCCACACTATCAGAATGTGGATGTAGTGATGGACTCAGACCTGAACATCCATAATTACTTAAAGATAATTACAAAGTCAGCCTTCTATCAGCTGTTCCTGACATGTGCTATACATCTTGATGAACTTGATTTTGACTTCCTGACCAAAGATGTAACATTATCCTCTCCTGTTCCGTGTCCAGATCATCCCTGGGAGATTACCTTAGCCGGGGAAAGGACAGCCCGTCCCGCTACTCCCCCATCCCCTGCGGCGAGGACCTTCAGGACGACCACACCTACAGCACCGCCAAGTCCCCCAGCAGCCTGTCCCCCTCCGAGATCACCAACCCTTCCTCCGCGCTGGAAGATGACGACATTATTGCCGTGGAGATCCAGTCGGATGTCAAGCCGGAGCCCCGGGAGATCCCGCTGGACTCTCACATAGCCACAGCCGCCGCCGCTGCCGCCTACATTTCCCAGCAGCCCCCGCGCGGACAAAGACGCAGCTCGGCGGCCGGAGCCGGGACTCTGCCGGGCAGCAGCCTGCCCTGGACCAAAAGCCGAGCGAGGGGCATTAGCGACACGCTGCCGCTGAAGAAGCGGCGTGCACCGGAGAAGCCGCCGGAGAGCGACGACGAGGAGATGAAGGAGGCGGCGGGGTCGCTGCTCCACCTGGCCGGCGTCAGAGCCTGCCTCAACAACATCACAAACCGCGCCGCCAAGGGCCAGAAGGAGCAGAAAGAGACCCTAAGAAACTAAAAAAAAAAAAAAAACATACGCATTCAGACACCTCCAACCACGCACACCCAACACACACCACTCACACACACACGTACAAATAGGTCAACAGGTAACGTTACTACAGCATTAGTCTCGACAGACACTCGTCATCTCCCTCTATCTATCTGCAGGGCATTAGGTGAATCCTACTTATTTGTGGCAATATCAAAAATCAATGTTTTCCTACATGTTCAGCAACACTAACATCAATGGGTATCTCTCATGTGTCTATGTTGGGTTTTTTTGTTGTTGTTTTAAAAAGGGGATGAAAGCCATAAAAAAAAGCATGTTTTGTCACTAACTCGGGGCGAGCAGAGGAAGTACGCCGCGCAGCGAGCGGAGGATGGCTGTTTGTCCTTTCCTGGTTTCGGTTCTTTTATTTTTTGTTTTGGGGTTTTTTTTTCCCACATTGAATCTGTAGCAATCTCTCAGCGATGCCAGCAAACGCGGCGGAGACCCACCTCTTCTGGAGGGGCGGGGGCATCGCTCTCCTACACCCACGAGCACAAACGTGAGACTGTGCCAAAGATACGCGACCAGGTTGCTTCATGTAGCCGATGCGACAGCCGACGGAGAAGAACGAAAAAAAAAAACGGAGAAGGCATCGTAGTAAAGAGCTAAAGAGAGGAGTGACCTCAAGTGTCAAAGTAAAACCCAATGTGATGTATATTCAATGCACTTAAAATTATTTTATGCCACTTACATGGAGAAAAAAAAAACATGGTTTATTTCGAGAGCACTCATAGTATTTAAGAATAAAATATCTTAAAATAAAAAAATAGAAAAAAAAACGGTCATGTTTATCACAATAGAGACAGATAGCAAGCCGGGTCTGAGGCAATATCTCCTTCATTTTGTTGTTCTTGTTGCATCACGTAGACGTCGTCCCTGAAACCCGCTCAGTACCTCCGTTCAGAGATCATAGCTATACCCAGTAGCTGCCACAACTTCCTGTCCAGCCAACAACGCCAACTTTCCACGTCCGACCCGCTGGGCTCGGGCCTCTCCTGTCCGTCGTGTCCCCGTCTCTAAACCCTCTCACTCTACCTTCATAAAGATATAAGCAATTTGTCCCACGTGGGCAACTCTGTACAAAGGTTAGAAAATATTTTATTTTTTTTTCCCTTTTTCTTAATTGAAGCAATTTGACCTGCAGGACTTTCTCAGTTATATTGCATGGGTGCTTGTAAATAAGATGAGAAGCAAAATCTTTTTTATTCAAAGATTCATGTAAGATAAACGATGTATTTAGCATGAAGCATGACTTATTTTCATATAAACCTTGATCCTAGAGGAAAGGAAAAAAAAAACGATTTTTTTTTTCCGCCAATTCTTATACCTGTGATTATTATGGAGTTTTCTGTTTTGTTTTATCAGGGTTTTTTTTTTTTTTTTTTTTTTTTTTGGAGTGGGCATGTCTTCAGGCAGGAACGTAGATCAGAGACCTCCACCCCCATTGAGGGGCGGGTGGTGAAACCTCTAGGCTTTGGCTTTCAGGGCCAGCAGAAGCGTTTCTTTTGAGGGGTGGCGGGATGAGGGGGTGTAGGGTGGGCTTCCCTCTACTTCTGCCTACATGTTGATCTTGTTTCTTTTCAGCGTTTTAGTTTTTGATTTTTCGGAGTGGGTTTTTCAATGACACGTCTTTAAGTAGGAACAATTAGAAAACCCCCTTTGCACCCCCTTCCCCAAGGGGTGCCACCTCTGAGCTCTGGGTTCAATCACCTCTTTTTGGGGAGGGTGGGCTTCTGTCTTCCTCTACCTGACTCTTTCTTTTTTTGTTTGTTTTGTTTGTGGGGTTTTTTTGTAGATTTTTCTTGTAGGTGTTCAGTGTTATCCCCACATCCCCCTGGCCCCCGGTGTGTCACTACAGATCTCGTCTGTGGAGTGTGTGAGCCAGTGTGTCCGAGAACACACACACCCTTTAACGTTGTGCCTGCCTCCCTGCCTGCCGTCAGTCGCTCTATTTACACAACAGAGAGCCACCTATATTTATTTATAACAGTATTGTTTTGTTTTGTTTTGTTTTTTTGTTGGGGGGGGATTTTTTTTTTCTCTTTTCCAGCGTGTAGATGTACATGTGTCCTTACTTTCCATTGACATTGTTCAGTGTAAATGTATGAATCAGTTGGGCATGGAAAACGCTGTAGGTGTCCTGATTAAATCTCATATTTTCCCTCCCTTCGAAACGAAAAAAATGGCTACCTTGTAGGAGACGAAGAGGAAGAAATGTTGCTTTCTAAGTTAAATACAGTATATTAAATTCTTTAATTTAAGGAGAGGTTTGCTGCCATTATAGAGGACAAAACACGGTAGGAAACTTTAAAGGGCATATATTATTATTATTTTTATTTTCTTAACGTTTTTCTTACCAAAATCAAGAAATGTGTAAAGATTCTGCAAAGTGACGACGCAGCCAAACTTTCCCGAAGAGCGACGGCTTGAGTGCGAAATACAAAGGCACCAAAGAGGAGGGTAGTGATTGCAAAGTGTCCAGCTTGAGGTCATTACGTGAAAAATTGTATTATTAATATAAGGCCTAAGTTTCAAATGTCCGCCTGGATATTTTTGCTTATTTTAATTGTACGCAGTTCTTTAAATGCCCTGCGAGTAAATATATTTGCCCATTTATCCGTAACAACTGGAACTTTCAGTACCTAGCGAGTTATTTTTGCAATTTACCGTCTATTTAAAGAGAGCCCCTCAGATTAATTTCACTCCCTGCTACGGGGGGGATGAAATTACCATAGTAACCCGATATTGGCCGGAAAGCGCAACGTCTCCCCTTTCAGAAACCGTTGGAATTTTTCAGATAGTGTGACAGTCCTGCAATTTTGGATGGATCGTAGGCGCTACATTTGGCCTGGAAGGGTTAACCATCCAACGAGGAGGAATTCGGGAGAAATGTTGTCCAAGAGCTTTATGTTAGCAAGTCATGCACACATTCAGTACCTGTTTTTGTTATGGTTCAATTTCACAACAGTGGCGTAGCTGTACAAATCGGGATTCCGAGGACGACTTTTGTCGCAACATTCAAATTCTCTAAAGTCTTTTTTGCACTGCATGGGCCGACCCGGATTCACACCTGGGTTTGACATCCCGGCCAGTCCAGTTTAAAGTCAGCCTAACCAGAGAGGTCTGAAGTTTGTCTCTTAAAACAGCATGCTGATTCACACTAAAACAGAACTTTAAGGTAATAAATCCTCATACGACCGGGCTGCAGTTACAGTTAATTTCTCTTCTTCATTTGGCTCAGACACAGAGAAACAGCTGAAGCTATTTAGCATTTTGTACTGACATATAAAAGAAAAGTAAGTGTTGTACAAGGGAGCATTTTCTTATCTGACACACTTTATGTTCACAAACAACAAGCTACTATTGACTGCATAAACTGTATTTTATCCATTTTTCTCAATTTTGGGGTTGTTCCTTCCCTTAGGTCAAAAAATGTGTTTCCAACATAGAAACTCTTTCAGCTGTGTTTGTCTCCAACATGCACACGAGCTCGACATGTCCCGGTTAACGAGGCCTATCAGACACTATATATGGCGCCTATCAGACACTATATATGGCGCTTCCTGTTTTTAGATAATCGTTGACTTTTATTTTACTGTCAAAAAAGTGAATTGGATTTATTTGTTAAAAAAACAACGGAAAGGCCAGTTAAGATGAACTTACTCTGCACACTTTCAACATTTTGTATTTTTAAACAGTCTTTGTTTTGTTTTGTTTTTATTAGAAATGATGTAAAACATTAAAGAAGAGCACGTCAAAGTGCTAATTTACTGTCAGCTGGGGTTGTTTAGAGTAGCAGAGACAGAAGAGGTGTGTGTGTGTGTTTTTTTTTTTTTTTTTTTTTTAAGCTGACTAGACACTGAGCGATTATGAGCAGGTCGAGCCGGAAAAACAAATGCATGTCCCATTCACCGGTATGCTCCTTTTGCCACCTGTAGCATGCATCGCTGACTTTCCATTCCGCGCATACAGAAAAAAAGGCTAAGAGGAGACGCAGTCAGAGCGTCTGGCTGTGTGCCATCCGTCTCGTTTCTGTCTGAGCGTTCCCGCGGCCCTGGGTCGATGATCAGTCGGCTGCGTTTGACGTAACAACTCCTCCCCTCCCCCTGCACACACACACTTGCATTGACGAGTTAAAAAAAAAGTTGGTTTAACAGATGCTTGTTTGTTTTTTTTAGTGCGACTCCCCTTGTAGTTTGCCGTAAAGATGAAATCTGGCTTTTAGCATCCTGGAAAAACCTCAAATTAATTTCGTTCCACTGCCTGAAAAAGCGGTCAAGACGAGTGATTTTAATTTTTCACACCTGCCAAACGGAACCCATTCATAAAGAAATGAACGGTTTTTACCAACTTTTTGGGTTTTTGATAGTTTTTAATCCCTGTTATTTATTATTTTTATCATTATTTTTCTCGTTCAAAATTCCTTAGAATACTGCCATTGTTTCTGCAGAGCTGAATCTTGGAAAGCCATAGGTTCGTGATGTCAAAAGTCGAAGCTGTCAATGATCTGCGAGATGTGATTCGGAGTGCACCCGGGTGTTGGTTCCTATTTTTATTTTATTTTTATTGTTTTGGTTTGTTTTTATCTCAGTAAGTGTTCGGTTCTCTCCTTATTGTGCAATCATGTTGCCAAAGAATGATTTCAAGACCTACTTCATCACTACATGTAAATATCAACGTTGTCCAATGCCGTGGCAAAAAAAAATATAAATGTCGTTTTTCTTTTCTTTGTTGTTTTGTTTTCCATTTTCTGAGAAACTACGATGATGTTTATGTGATGTATTGTCTTCCAGTTGGTTGCAATAATAAAAAAAAATACAAGTTGCAGAGAAGCTCGGCTGTTTATTTCTCATTGGACGGTGATTTATTATCATTGGACGAGTATTTCCTCTAGTTTTGGATGCTGTGCAGTTTTGGATGCTCTTACTTTTGTGCTTTCAGACAGTTGTAATGTGTAACCGCGGCAACAAGGCAGCACAGCAACAGGGTCCTCAAGTCAGAGGCGTCTTCAAATTTGTTGCAAGACTGACTGCTACCTGCTCACTGGATCATATGAGTTACAACATTTGATTTTCTTTTGAGATAAACTATTTCTGAACTGAACTAAGTAAAAGTAAGAAATCAGAAAGTTTGCAGTGGCGCATAAAAGTATTAAACCCTTTGATTTTTTTTTTCCACATTTTCCCATATTGCAACCACAAACTTTATCTTTATTAACGTAACAAACCTAAACAAAGAAGTCTGTGACTGTGAAGTGGTGGGA